AGAAATTAAGGAGGACAAAAGTGTAAGTTAAAAATGGAAGTAGTGAGGTTCTTGGAGGGTAGACATCACAGTGGCTGTAAAATATAACTGTCATCATGTAGCCTGTTCATTCAAGTTAAGTTTAAATCTCCAGTTTAACCAGAAAGTAGGAGGAATATGTCCTAATTTTATAATCTTCCTTGACTGCCTGCTCCGAGCCATGGTCAAGGACAAGCATACACAGCACTGGCACGACTATTTTTGCAGGTGAGGGGGCTTGGATTTTTTTCTCCAGAAATGAGATGCTTATTTCAGTGTTTAGTTCCATATTTTTTAAAGGCTGCACTGAAAATGAATTCTTAAATCATAGTATTCAGCCTTTGCTCTGATTTGCATAAGGAGGCAATGCACAGGTGTTCATTAGGAACCCGTAGTGATCAGGCAACTTGGATCTTTTACCAGAGTTCTCTTCTCTTTGTGCAGCTCCAAGTCTCTTGCAGGAATTCAGTTACATCATTATCATCACACTCCGTTCTTACAGAATGAATTCAACTGGGATCTTGGATCCCACTTTTGTGCTTCTAGAAACTGCATCCTGTAGTTTCCTCTGTTGCATTTGAGATGGTTTGTGTTTTTTTAAGTTAAACCAGGAGCACCTTAATTTTGTGTCAGGCTAGCTAGATTTTTACATCACACTTGTAATTTTGTGTCAGACAAGATAGATTTAATAGATTCTGACTCTTTCTCTCCCTGATAAGGATGATTTTTTAAAAATTTTCTACTGGTACAGAAAGAGGGCTTTGATTGAATACAATCTATTTAAGATTTGATTTTTCTATGAAAAGTTTTATAATTAGGAAATAAAAAATACAAAAAAAAAATACTACTTGTTAGTAATTTTTTTTTTCCTGTAGCTTCTTGATCAATGGCGCTCTTCAATGTTTTTGGAATCAGCCCATTAAAACATTTTTAAAGTTTAATTCCAGGTTTATGATAGTATGCTGGTTACTTCTGAAAAATGTGGCTGGCATATAGTGAATTATCTGTTGAGTTCTTCAGTCTTAAAACAAATATCTTCCAGTACATCTCAGTCCATTCCTCACTGTTCTTTCATTATTCTATTCTCAGTTCCTGGAAGAAGTAAGATAAGACTCAGAAGCTGGTGGGGATGGGTTTTGGTGAGTGGGAGATACATTAACAGTACTGAAGGCTGATAGCTACTTTAGATTTTTAAAATCCCTTCTTGGACTTTGAAGTTTAGTATATTTAATAAAGGAAAAAAATGCTAATTTAATTAGCATTTTCATTTATGGATAATTCTGTTTCAAGTTGTCCCCTCCCAAGACTAGTTTTAATATTGGTGTTATCTGTTCCCAGAAAATAGAATGCAAAGATTGCTTTAGGTTGCGGGTCGGGAATTTACTTTAACGTGAATCCCTGAGGAGGAAAGTTACTTGAACTCTCTTTAGCTCTACCTTAATTGCATTGAGAAGTTTCAGGAGATAGTTATATGAAATATCCTTCATCATTTAGATATTTATGGAAAATTATTTTAGAGTAAAAATAGTAAGTTTACTTGAATGACTAGTTCACAATTTTGAATTGTACAAAAAATAGTCCATATATTTTGGGATGAACATTGATTTTCATGGTAACTGACTAAATTATTTATGTGTATATATATATATATATATATATATATATATAATTAGTATAATTAGTACTGCATCCAACATTTTGGTGGAATTATACCACTTAGATGTATACCTCTTTTATGCCTTGAACCTGAGCTCCTGGAAAATATTTTCTGTTTATATTAAACAGTACAGCAATATGGATTGTTAAAGCCCAGGGAAACTTGCCTTTTTGTCTTTATTGCAAATCTTGTTGGCATGCAAGTGCATATGACAACACGTGCATCCTTTGTTTTCTAGAATTCCAAAATCCAAGGAACACTCTTACAAAATTTTGCTATTCTAATCCAGATTTTAGATCTGTTTGCATAGCAAAATTTAAATCACTGCAGCCTAGAGATTTAGAAGTTGTAAGCTTATATTTCATATCTGGTTCCTGAAAATGCCTCCTTTTCCTGGAAGAAGATTGGAGATGATTCACATTGGGCAGAAATAGCCTCAAGTTCCCAAGCACAAATGATCTTAGTATTTCTTAGTTCTTCCTAGCTTGATTTCAACCTAATTTGGCACATAAATTGTAGTTGACCTCAGACAGAATAATTCAGATGTTTGAGCCTCTTAGATGTGTAGCCAAAAGCGAATTGTCTTGTTGCATGTATTTTTAAACATCTGCAAGCTGAGCTGAGAAGCAGAATGCAAATTCTAGGACTTGAAGATACCTGTGAGATTATGAAAATTCCTTTGAGACTGCAGAGAATCCTGGTGCCTATGAACATGATTTTTTTTCCTAGTCATGGTGTATTTAGAAATTTAAAATTTGCTCTAATTTCTGTTAACAGAAGTAAAAATGACAATGGAAGCAGGTCATCAATAATTTAATAGTAAATGTATAGTCTGAGATAATAACTTTTGTTGAACCTTTTAATGCCTATTCCACAAGGACTGAAGGAATTGTTTCCTGCAGTTTGTGTTTCTGTTTTACTGGGATAGAAGAATAATTTTTTTGTTCATGCATGAAAAAATAGTTGCAACAAAGTAACACTAACAGAATTGGTTCTTTCAATAGCTTTCTTTTTGTTAAGTACCAGTACACAGACAAATGATATTTTCAATAGATTGCAGAGGAATTCCCACGCCTCTTAGGAATAAGAACCAGTTAACTTCTCAGCTCATGATAAGTGGGGTTTAGGTTGGGATCTTTGAGTACTCAGAAAAATTTGACTAATAAAAGATGTGGTGATTATTTTACTTAATTAAATGTTGAATATATCTCTATAAATTCCCTACATTACACAGTAATTTTTGCATGAGATATTTCATTCTCTGTGGTTTTTTAGATGTAATGGGAGAAGCTGAAGTTTCAGCCTAAGTTTGAGGGAGAATTCTGTCTAAACAATGAGTTTTGAAATGCTTTTTTGTCTAAAATCATGGGTTTCGTTCCAGAATGGGATTGTTTTATTTAAGTCCTTCACTTAAATAAAACCTATAAAATGGGCTCTGATGAGATTTTTTCTGTGGAGGCAGTTCTTATAAACACCTATAATACAGGACTCTCTTGACTACAAAAGACGTGGCTCTCTGTATAACTGTAAGCTCTTTTCGCCAAATTCTGTCTGGTCATGTGGTCCATAGCATACACTCCCCTCTTCTACCAGCCAGCCTGAACAAAGTCACATGTCAGTGGCTGGTGAAAAGACTAGTCTGTGCACTGATTCATAAGGTCCTCTCAGATTTTTTGAAAAGTTTCAATTTGTTTTCAGAAGCATCACATGCGTCAATGAAAACAAAAGATCTCGCGCCTTAAGGAAATGGGAGTGTGGCACCATGACTTTGTATCGTGTGCTATTACCCAACAACACAAATGGAGTGGATTCTTAACTTGCCTTGGGTTTCCTTAGTTTACAGGGTCTCAGTCTATAGGGTTACTGCTTCTAAAAGCTGTTGTGTTCTGAAACTGATGACAATAAATTACATGGGCCCCCATGTAGGTTTCTGAGTTCATCTGGCATCCCCATGCAGGATCTGCTGTCAGTATGCATCCACGGATGAGTCCAAACATGCTGTCACCTCTCCACAGAGACCTCTTTTCTTCTGGAAATCTTGTTTTAAAAAATAGACAAAAATTTTGGTCCAGGATAACAAGTTTTCATTTTGACTCTTAGCAGTAGAAGCCACAATAGAAATTGCCACATGTTTTTCCTATGATATTGAGATAATGTTTGACTCTTCACCTTCATTAAGGAGGAGCTGCTTCTCTGAATAGTCCCCTCCCTGATCTCATTGGACTAGAATATATCTAACATCCTGCCGGTGATAACTGAATGTAGTATCTTTTGCAGCCAGTGAAGGTAGGGAGCTGTGGTTAAGATCTTTTTCCCATCTGTGTCATGGAAATTAGCTGTGGTTTTCTCCCATAGGCCTCAGAAAATGTTGGCCTTGAGCTTTGGAAGCTTGAGGTGAAGAAAAAGGAAAGGAAACTGAGCTCCATTCCATAAAGCAAAATACCCAGGAACAAAATCCAGATGGGAATTTGACTGTATTTTTGAGCACTATGTCACCATGTTTAGGAGCAATGATTTAGTATATCAGCAGCGAAGAGTAAGCAGTGGCCTTAGCTGGTGTAATTTCAATTGAGGATAATAGACTATTGTGGCTTTCTGAGTGTATACATTAAAACAGATTGGCATACCTATACCAGATCCAGAAGAAACGTGTTAGAACTGCATCCTTAAATACCTTTTGACTTAGGAATCTTTTAAAATCCAGGTTTGAAAGGTGCTAGTGATTCACAGAGATGTACATTGTCTGGGAAAAGCATGAAGCTCCTTTGAGACTGGCAGTTTTAGAATGTTGAGCTCAAAAACATCTGTCTGAGCAGTGTTCCAGGAGAGTGTAAACATGGAGGGAGATCTGCTACAGCTTATTTGAAGAAAACAATAGCGTGGTGTGGTTTTCTGGGGTTTTCTTTCCTCAAAACTGTGATGGTTTTGATTAATTAATGTTTTTGACAATGTCTGATCGTGAGGTAAACTGAAGTGTAGAGTGTGTTTGAGAACTAGTTCAGTTATGAAATGAAGGCTAATTTACTATGAGTTCAAAAGGACATTATATTTTCAGGGGAAAATTTGGGATCTATGAAGTCAAGCTTTTATGTGAGCCTAAGTGTATTTTGCAGGTTAGCTGTTCTTGTGGATTTATTCCTATCATTTCTAAAGACAGAAAGGAACATGTCTGTCACAAAGCAACTCCAGCTGTATAATTTCAAATGAGCATGTCATCTGTGTTGTGGAAGACACCCTTTTTACTTTCTGTTTTTCAAGACTTGCTGACAGAGCAGCAAATTTGCCACCAATCACCTTTGTCTCACCTTGCACTTTCCCTCCACAGATGCCGGGGTCTTGCTGAGCCCTTGCCAATGCTCGGAGGCTGTGCCGAGCAGGAGGATTGCAGTGAACCTCTTCCCATGTCCTGGGGGAGCCAAATGCCAAGTGTGGCAAAACCCTCCAGGGAGGTAACACAGGTGCGTGAAAAATGTTGGGAATGTGGCTCCATATTGATTTTATATTAATGTTTGACATGCAGAGTGGGAATAATGTTCCAGTGGCAATTCATCTCAAGGCATGCACTATTATACAAAATAAATGTCAGTGTTTGCCCTCCATGCATGCAGCCTTCTGATTCATGCAGATAATTTGAAGATTTTGAAATTTAGGTTGTCCACTCCTCTTTCTTAACAGAGAAAATTTAATTAGTGTGTCCTGAAATCATTGTTTAGAAAATAATATCAGGGGTTTTTTTCTACTCCTTTTGCTCTACTCCAGAGACTTTGAGCAACAGTAAATGTTTAGTTTCACCAACAAAATAAATGCTGAGGTCTGATCCATCCTGTTCTTCTGCTTTCTGCTGCACCTTCCTGTATCTCCCTCAGCCTTTCTGATGACTTCTTAGTGAAAGTCCCATTTCAAATAGTCAGTATCAGCAGAGATATAGAATGCTGATTCTAAGCATGAATATATTCTGATAAATCACAAGTCAGTGATTGGTAAAAATGAAATTTTGATAAAAAATTAGTCAAGTTCTGTATAACACAATCCAGGCCTCATAAACAATTCTGATACTTTTCATGTGTATGCCAGTTTCTAGGCTATTGCAATTATGATCAGGTGCGATGTGAAGGTTTTGAAATTTTATGGTCAATGAAAAGTGCACACTTCACAGTTAGAAACTGAAATCCACTATTCCTTTAGTCAAAAAATGTGCACAAAAAAGGGAAAAAATATTTCACATTCTGTACTGTCAGAGAACAAATGCTGATGATGTGGAAATGCCCTGAAACTTGCAGAGAGGTTGTGTTTTCCTCTGCTGTGAATGACATCCATAAACATCATGGTGGGAGCACTATTCACTGATGCTTGGAGAGAAATGTCTGATCAACCTAATTTTATTGCCTGAGAAATAATTTGAATAATGGGAAATAATTTGTCTCTATTCTGAACCTGAAGGCAAGAGTGAAAATTCAGGGTGTGCGTTTTCCATGGTGGCTGAAATCAACCAGACTGGGGGGACCTGTATGACTTGTGCATGTATCTGGTACCTTCTGTGATCAAGACTTGATTCTCACTGCAAATTTTCTGGAGATGTCTGTTCCGTTCTGTGGTATTTATTTTACTGTAGACAGGGAAAATTAAAATTAGTAAGTTATCATGTCAGTAGGCTTTAGGAAAGGAAATATACTATTTACATTAAACGAAATATGTTCTTAGAAGAAATTACTTTCCTTTGGTCAGAGAAAGGATGGTATCCTCACTTCTGGTTTCCCCTGTGACTTAAGAAAACACACAGAAAATCCCCATGGTGAGCTAGGATTTTTGCTTATTTTAATATTAAGGGATATTAGTTCAGTCACTTGCCAGTAGTAAGACACTGTAGATACCATATTATCTGCTTTAAAAAAAATATTATTTTTAGAAAAAACAGAAAAACGGATTTGTTCACTTAAGCTTAAAAAGGAGATACCAGGTGGTCTCTTACCCAAGATTTGGGCAGATAATACATTCAGGGCTTACAGAATAAAGAAGCATAAGCCTCAAGCATCTCTTCTCCTCATATTCTTTTGAATTATTGTACAGTAATTTATGTAAGTGGCTTCTGTTGCTCCCTTAATGAATACATCATTTTCTTGCTGTGCTTCCTCTCATAGCATCACAGGATGACTACACAGTTACTTCAGTCATATCAATACTGGACTAGATAATCTTAGATTTCTAGACTGAAATATCTCAACAGAACGTGAAAAAAAGGGAAAAAATATTATGCTTTTCATGCTTGAACAAATATAACAGTGATGAGAAACTAGTTTTTTAAGATTAAGGCAGTGGAGAGGTATTGCTTGAAACTATCTTTTAATATCTTAGTTTTAAAATGATACACCAATACATTCCACAAAAATACTGAATAAAAATATGAATTTTGACCATTTTAAGTGCTGTTATCTTTAAAAATATTTTAATTTCTTCCATAGTAAGATGCCAATTTTAGAAAAAAAAATATTCAGAGTAAGTTTTTGTGCAGGATTTTGAGCAGATATTACACCAAAAGTGTTGTTTTATTACTTACTGGCAATATACTTAAGTAATTAATATGCCATTTACTTAATTGTAAATGGCATACCAAGTCAACTGAACAATATTTTCTTATTGCTTATACTTTTGATCACATAAGTTTTTTTCAACAAGATAGAAAATGTCTTTCCACTTTCAGTTAGATAAAAAGACTTATACAAATATTGCTTAGTGACACTTTAATTGAGATGGTTTCTAAAAAAGAAAATTAGGACTATTTAATGTTTCTCTTCACCAAGGAAAACAATACTGAGAACAGAAGAAACTATTTATCTGATGTACAAAATGCTTCTCTGTTCTTAGGAGATACAAATACCTTTTATTTCTTCATATCAACAAATTTTTCTTATGTTGTGAAGCACAGTTTGCTCATAGCTTCCGGTCCAGAAAATTATTTTCAGATGCTGTTTAAGCAGTAAGCCTGTAATAGTTTTATTATGTTGTGAATTTCCATTGCTCATTCCTATTGTGCAGGTAATGACTTTGGGGGCAGAGAGTGAAATGAAATTCCCCATTGAGTAGATAAACACTCATTTATTACTGCTTCTCTGGGTGCCAAATTATAGGCTAGTTGATAGTGAGAACCTCTATCAGTTTTTAGCCTTTGACTCCAGATGACTGAGGTAATCACATGACTCATATCACCTCCAAAGGAAAGGCTCCTCTTATGAAAGAGTGGTTGAAAGACTGTTGCTGCATTATTAATAAAAAACAGAGGCAACACAGAATCCCTGATGTCTCAGGATGATGAGGTGAGACTTTGAATTGTCCCACAGGAAATGGTTTTATTTTATTTATTTTCTTCCAGCAAGTTTTGCATTTCCTTTGTTGCCACAGGCAGCTGTAGCCCTTTCATGTATAGAGTACAAAATGCAAATAGCAACTCTACAGTTGATAAGTGGTTGGAAATGCTTTGTGCCACGGAATGGCAAACCTACTTGGAATGTGTTATCTCATACATACATTTCTATTTTGTAGTACAGCTGCTCAGGGTTCCTGGGTAACCTTGACGAGCACGAACACTATGCTGAAGTCACAACAATGGTGATACGGGATGGTAAAATACTTGGAACAAGCATCAAAGTAGAGCAATTGCTTCAGTGGGAAAAAAAATCACTCTTCCTAATTGCATACACATTGAATTGGTGAAGGATACGTAGTCAGAGGCTTGGTGTTTCATTAATGATGGATGATGTAAGTCAATAATGTAGTTTAAAATTAACATTTAGTAAGGACTCACCTATAGTTAATTTATAGTAACTTCACTTTTATTTTGATGATTTAAGTTCAGTGCTCCATGAGCCCTGCCTTGGGAACACTGTGTAGCAAGTTTAGCTGATAATGTTTAACAAGAGCCAGGGGAGAAATGACACCTAATCCATATGAGATTTAAAGAAGCAAGAGATTCCCTTCGATCTAGAACATTCCTATTGTTTATAGCTCACTGTCATTGTCACCTCTTTCAAAATGAATTAATTATCTTCATAAAATAATGTACTTCCTTATATTTATTATTTAATAAGCATTTAAATTTCTAAATAAATTTCTTATTTAATAAGAAAAATAGAGGATTAAACTTTCTTCAGGTGTATGAACACATGGTGTTTATTTTTTTGCCCCTGACTTTGCCCAGCAACTTTCAATCGGTGTATGAAATGTCTGTCAACCTAATAAGTACTTACCTAATGAAATAATACCGTTTAGAAACAATGTCCTTTGGCTAGGTGATATGATGTGGCAAGGGTAAATCACACCACAAAACAGAGTGCAAAATTTAAATTCATGAGGTCTGGTTTAGGGCTTTTTATAGTTAAAATGATTTTAAGTTAGGCATATGTTTGTCCTTATTGCACATTCAACAGTTTTATTAGTAAAAAGTGCTGAGGTGCCGTTTTAATTGAAGAACAGCAGCACTCAGCAAGCTCCGAGTGCAGTAGGTTGGTACCGTTTGTGTATGTTGGCATGGAAAAGACAGTACTGTGGAAGTTAACAGTGTGCTTGTAGTTCTTCATCTTACTTTAGTAGATCTATGATTTCCACGCAAGTTTGAAGAAAGTCAACCAGGATTTGGATGGTCAGCATTCTAGAAACCCTTCCCCAAATCTGCAATACGAAGGAATTAGTCAATTGAAGGAAAGGTTTCAGGTTGAGATTCAAATACATGAGAGGTTATTGCAAAGAGGAAAGTACTAAACTGTCCTTTTGTCTATGGGGAACAGGAGAATAATAATGTTTTTACATTCTAGTGAGGGAGATTTAAGTTAGGCATTGGGGAAACCATTCTAAGTGTAAAATTAGTGAAGCACAGCAGCTGCTGGATTAGAGATGCTGCAGCATCCCTGTTGAATATTCTGGGAACGAGTTAGGCAAACTTCTGTCAGAGGCAGTTGAGTGATCCTTGTTGTGAGCAGAGGGGTGGCAAAGATGCCTTGTGGCATTCCTACCCACCCTGTCTAGGTCAGCCCTGTTTTTGCATTGTCCTTGGGAGGCAAGTGAGATTAAAAACTTTGCATTGCAGTGGCTTCTTTACCCTAATCTATTTTGTTGTTGTGTGTCTTACTTTGCTCTTGTTAGGGTATAAGATAAAACCTAAGTACAGAGCAAGTTTCCACAGCTTTTTTTTTCCCAAGAAGGTTATTAAAAGAAAATACAGCATGCCTATTTAGTACTATCTTAGCCCCTATTTTGTGTTATTTGGCAGTATTCTTTGTTCAGATGTTGGGAATGAAATATTTTTCTAATAGTTTGAAACAAAATTTGCATATTTTCATTAGATAAAATTAAATCCCAGAAATTAATAGGTTAACTTCCATTTTTATTTAAAGAAGATTTGTGGAAATTAATTAAATTGGAGATTGTAAAATGCCCTTCTGTTTGTTTTTTTCATATCGTAGCATAA